TTATTTGTTTATTAATTATGTTTATCTCCTATTTTTGTTATTGCACCAAATCAGATGTTCAATTTATCTTGTGAATCTCAAATTGTATTCCTACTATTTTATAATCTACTTATGTCCTACACCATTATTTTTAATAAATACTGGATGTGGGGCGTATTGTGGAATTGCACGATGTACCATAATGGGCAAACTTTAGACCTTTTGAAAAGCTTCAGTCTATGCAAATTCTTATAAAACTTGCAATTACCCCCTCCTTTTTTTTTTCTCTCAAAGAGTTAGTATGGGAACTCATTACCAGTTGACCTATGGTACATCGCTGGTGTCCCCCATACTTTTACCTTTACTTTAATTATTTAATTTATGATATTATATAATAAATGAAAGGTTTGTATGCTAATATGTATGTACCATCCTTTTTTTTCTTTGTTAGCTCTCACATTATATTGTATTCAAGTAATAGCTGTTGCTAGATTTTTTTACTTGTTTTGATAATCTTTATGGACTTACGTATAAGCAACCAGGCCAAAATTCGCATAAATCGCCAAATTTGGCGACCCTACTACGTTATGTTACGTGTTAGTTTTGTAAAAGACGAAAGTTTATTTGTAAAAAGAAAAAATAACACTGGGCGTGTACTACCACAGCAATGGGTTTTCGGCGGAATTTGCCGAGAAAAGAAAGAGACTTTTTTGGTTACTGTACCTAACAGAAGCGCCGTTACCCTCATGGAAAAAATTTGCGAAAATATCAAGGAAGGAAGCATCATTTATTCGGATTGCTGGAAAGGATACAATACAAGTGAGTTCGAAAATGCTGGATTTCTGCATGGAACTGTTAATCACAAATATAACTTTGTGGATCCCAACACGTGTTCACACACAACATGTAGAGCGCATGTGGGGCTCAGCCAAATGGCGCAACAAAAAACAGAGAGGAACAGCCCGTCATCATCTTGACTCATACCTTATCGAATTTATATGGCGCCAAGCTCAAGCTGTTAATGGCGAAGACGGTTTTCAATCAGTGCTAAAGCAATAGCCAAAAGATTTCCGCCGAAAAAATAATTCTGCAACTTATTCAAATTCGAGACCGGAAGGGTTTAATTGCTATTTTATATTTTAAAACAAAATAATATAAAAAACTGTATTAAAAATTATCTGTAATTAATAAATGTACATTTTCTTTCTATTCATACTTTTTTACTCAAACTTACAAATCGCGCCAACCTGGTTGCAATAATACGTAAGTACCCTCTTTCTTTATTTTATTTTACTCAGGGGGGATTTTCATTTGCGCAGTTGGAGTACACCCGTATAATTTGTGTATTAATTCTGTAAAATCATATCAAATCTGTCACCTTTTTTTAATCATATGTGCACATTACAGGAAAATACAACTCTTTTTTTGTTTTTTTGTTTTCTTTCCTGAAAATTGTATTTATTTGTTAAATTTCAAATAGAATTAAGTAAACTATATTAGAACCTTCAGATGATTCTAATACACTGTCTGATGAATAGTGATTTAGATGAATACAATGAAAGCTCGACTATCCAGAAAGCTTAGGATATGCCGAATTCCGAGTTGAGCATATAAAAAACAGAGTTCATGTTAGAAAAGCCAAATCAGTTGGAAAAATCGGGACTTCATGCTTATGCATTATTGATGCTAAATCATGCTGTTTGGCAATAATAAGTGTTTTAATAGTATTACAGGTTCTATAATGGCATTGCAGATTTCTCGTTTATTAAATTTGTGGGGGGGGATTTTTCTAAAATATTCCAGTCAGTTGAAATCCAGATAGTCAGGCTTTTACTGTGTGTATGTATGTATGTATGTGTATTGGCCTAAAGAAAAAAAATCTCTTTTAAATAATGAATCGTAATTTTTATCTTTAAACTGTTTTTCTTTAAAACACTTCTTTCATGAATACTTTTAGGTACCATCATCATCATGGGAATGTTATTGAACCAAGGAATAATCGAATTATTTCAGTAGCTCTTACTTATTCCCCTCCACCCCTATATCATACATTTTGTACAGACTTTGAATGCTTTAGCAAATATAATAATGTACAATAAATTAATACTTTCCGACTTTACAAATCATATTATTTTATTATTCAGTTTGTCGGTTTTCACATCACTTATTCGATAACTGATTTTTTTTTTTAAATATTTTCCAGGGTATGTATGTATTAACACAACTACTACCTTGTCGTCACAATCTGGCAATTTTTCTCATATTAAGAAATATAACTTACTTATTGAGGGAGAATTAGCAGTTTTCATGATTTTTTTTAAGAAGATTCCCATATTATTGATATTTATTGTAAGTAAGCAAACATTATTAACATGTGAAAAAAACGTACTTTAGCAATTTAAAATGTTAAATAAGGTTTATATAAAATATTTAAAAAAATAAAATGCTTACATTCTTCGGCAAATCTTTTTGTAATTTGTATTGCACCTTCTTTTACCCTTATATACAGCAATCTGTTTTCTTAAATGATCAAAGAATGTCTGCTGGGTAGCAAATTTAAGTATTAAACAATTTGGAAATAATAATGAGGTGACAATTAGGAATTATTTATATTTACCTGCAGGTTCTTTTAATCCAGCATTACCTGCGCGACAAAAACTTACTTGTGCAGGATATGTCATACCCAAGAATGTTTCATTATATTTTCTATCATAAAATCTATGCATGAAAGGTAAAAAATAAATAAATAAAAAGGAGACTACAGTTTGAAAACTAGTTAATCATGCTACTTACATTTATTTTGCATATTTTCTACAAATACATGCCATGTGTTCCACACATATATGTTTGTCACACCTTTCACAAATAAATTTAGTTTCTCTGTCTTTTCTATTAGGGCATTCAGCGAAAATTGTAGATATTACTTTGACCTTCTTTGTAGGTTGTGCGATGTCTCCATTAGATCTTAGTTTTTCTTTTAAGTTTCATGGAAGCATTGCTTGTTGGCTTCTGTTTTTCTTGTATTCTTCTGCAAGTTGAAATGCCAAATATTTAAAAAATGATCACTTTGTATGATGTTCAGTAGGTGGTTTCTTAGTACATAGCAAACTAATTCGAGCATTTATTGCAGCAACATTCAACAGTGCAAAAAATACTGCTACGTGCCAATGATTAGATTTCCTAGCCCATTGACTATGTGGCAGCAATTTTGTCTACAACGTCAACTGCTCCTTTAGATAAATTGGAGAAAGTTATTATTTCAGGTTTTTTTCGATTCTCCTGTGGATGAGTCTATTGCATCATCAATATGCATAGTTGAAAGTAGAAGAATATTTCTTGGGTGTATGTGAGACAATTATGTGTCTTTTTGGAAACCAAATATGGAGGAGCAAATCTCTCTCTTCTTTGAATTCAGAAACATTGCAGGAATCTCTCTTTTATATTTTTCTTATGTTTCCAATGTTAGTTACTCATCCAAAGATACAATATCCAATAAATTTATCAAACATCGCATTTCTTCATCATAACTGCAATTACAGACCATATTAGAAGAACAATCTGAAAGCTTGTTCGCATACTTAGAACTATAACACAAATACTCACGCAGGGTATAATATACCCATCGATGCAATATCTGAAGAATCATTTTCAAAATTTGGCCCCAAGTTTCCTCTCTTTCAAGGTTACAGCCTTAGAGTCAGCTATACAAAGGCTCATCCATTTCCAAAAAAGGTTAGGAAGGAAAATTAAAAAATTCAGGGAGGTGGTTATCTCATACCCTGTGCGAGTAATGCCGAGTTAAGGAATAAATGTTACTGCAGCCACACTCAAATAGACACATAAGATCTTATTGACTCATTTATGATTGTAACATGTTTTTATCACACAGGTGAAATAAAATGTGTATATAAATGCAATATACAACATGAAATGCGAGGCACCATGAAAAAGCTATCTGAATGCGGCGAAATTTTGTAAGCCCATAACTCAAATAGAATATGCAAATAATTAACATTTGATGACCAGTGAGCGACTAGCTAGAGCTCCAACACATTACAACAGAGCTTCCAGATGTGGTTCCGTCGATCCACGTAGACTGTATCAGTGCCTTGCAGAACATGATCATAAATTGTTATCATCATTTGAGAGAAAACATGCAATTGGACTAAAGAAATCAGAGTGGTCGAATTGTGGGATTGCTAAACAGTTTGGTCAGAATGATGCTACCATTCAATGATATTGTCAGAAATGGGTGAACCATGTGAGGCTCAAGAAGATAGCGGTCAACTGGCAGTGACGAGAGGACAAGAGGACTAAGTGATCATCTAATCAGTGCACACTGATGTGTCTTTATCATCGACCGAACGTGTAACAAGGACAAAAGTGGCTACAGTAGCCATTGATAAGAGACTCAGTAAACAGGAATGGAGATCACAGAGGCCATTGCACCAACTGGGCCTCATCATTGCACAACACAAGGTAGGTTTTCAGTGGTGTGTCATTCAACCTGGAATCTGATGCACTGGAATAGAATTGTTTTCGGCAAAGAGTACTGCTTCAAATTGAGTTTCGTTGACCAGCGAAGATGTGTCTGGAGATGTCCATGATAGCCGTGGTATACTATCCTGACCTAACTGTCATAATAGTCTATAATGACCTAACTGTCATTTGACACTTGGGCTGACAACCAGAAGTTATGGAGCGCCAATTTTATTTGGCAGCTGAACTCCTTTGGTTGTCATCAGGGACACTCTTACTGTACAACAGCAGATCAATGATTCTATGCCATGTAGCGTTGCCCTTACTTTCATGAACCCCTAGGTTTACATTATAATAGGATAATGCCCTAACAGTAGTAGATACACCATTAATGTTTATTTTTATATTTAGCATCATATTCAGCCCTGAAATGATAATCATTGCCGTGCTTCTTGTTATTATTTCTGTAAAATTATTATTAAAATTTAAAAAAAACTATTTAATCCAAGTAAAATATTTCCTTTTAAATAACTGTTTTTCAGAGCCACAGATGCTTGTTTAAACAGCAAAAGCCCTATTATTATTCAAAATACACATATCAGGAAGTGGGAAATGCAGAAGTATTTAAACCTGGCGGCAGCACACAATTATACTGTTATTATGGCTATCACTCTATTCAAGTTTGATGTATCTGTAGAGGTAAATAATTATATTTGATTTTTTTTTAATTTTGATGATTTAAATATTAATAAAATATTCATTATTTTAAATGAAATTTTATTAATCTCAAAATATAAATGAAATAGTCTCTGTCTCAAAATATAAATGAAATAGTTATAACCTGCTGTTAAATATTATGTATAATCTCTGCCATTAAATAATGAATGTATGTAAGTTTTTTTTTCTCTTCTATTGTGGAAAAACAACAGCACCTGGAGCTACTGAATTTTTATTACGTGTATTCCTGTACCCAACATGTGCACACTGAAGCCCGGATTTTGAATTTGTTTATTATTTATTTCACAATTTGTATGATTATAAATCAGTTATGAAGTTATTAAGGATTATTTCCAATGCAGTAGATTGTTGCTAACAAAATATCAGATTTTATCTTTGTAACTTATCAACAAACCAGGCTATTTAAAAGCATGTATTGCCACTGCTTGAAATGAAATATTTTTATTTTTTATATGCAAGTCTGTTGCCATTCAAAAAAGCATAAGATTTAACTTTTTAACAAATTTAATATTTTCTTATTGAGTAACAAACTAAGGAATTTAAAAGCAAGAAACATAGTTCATAAGAATATTTTTTCTACTTTTTAATCTGATTGATTTAGATTAAAGTGCATGTAAGTCATGAGATAGTTAATTTACACTTGCTGTACTCATTAAGATCATTTAATATTTTTATGGTAATAATTTTAGGTAATAATTTTAGGTAAATGGCTAGTAATTTTGATAAATTCTTTTTCATATTTTTCTTAATTTGGAAGTGCTTCTGACCCTTCTTAATGAATTGCATTAGTTATTCTGTTCTGGCATTCAGAATTTTTTAGAAATGTATTCCACTCAGTAATTACATGTCTAAAACTTAATTCTTTTTCAAATATGCTTAAAATATTTTATAGAATTAAATGCAGAGTGTCGAAGACTCTCTGCATTTATTTGGGGCCCTGGGATTAAGGGGTCCTGGGAAAAGGAATTAAGGGGCCCTGGGAAAAATGGATATCGTATAACAATTAATAAAAATAAGAAACACGTTTAATAAAGATGATAAATCAAATATAAATTTAGCTGAATTACAGTTTAATTTTTGATTCCTCAAATATAAAGGTATGTCATGCAAAAATTTGGTTTCATTTTCTCTTGTTAAACAATATTTATCCATTTTTCCCGGGACCCTTTTAAGTGCGACCCTCTGCATTTAATTGTGTAAAATATTTCATGCATATTTAAAAAAGAATTAAGTTTTAAACATGTAATTACTGAGTGGAATTACATGTAATTTACAACATAAAAGAACAATTTTATGTTGATACTTTCCCCGAAGCGTATAAAAAAATATGCATGAGGCATAAAAAATGTCTGTCAGAAAGGTGAGTAGAAATGATACCTCAAAATACTTAAAATTTCAGTGAAAAAATGAATGATTTTATTATATTAAACTATAACCAAATTGTTTTAACACTTTTTACATAGTTAAAATCTTCATGTAAGGGGGGATCTTTGAAAATTCTCTCCTTTTGTTTGTGCACTTTAATTTAGTTGTAGTTGAAAGAAAGGAAAAGTATTTAAATTGCTGAACTCCCATTTACTAAAATAAAACCTACACCAACTACCATTGTTTCCTTAGTCAGCATTTATTTGGTATGATATTTTTTCTAATTAGTATTAATAGTTTGTGTTCTATTGAAGTATTAGTCACTTTCATAGGTGGTTACCATAAAAGTTTTCGCTGTAAAGAATGTTTTTGTTATTATGACAATCAAAATTAAAAAACACTCAATTACATGCAGCTATATTGCAATTTTTCAGGCTTTGGCTAAAACCAATTCTGATGGTTTGAATTTGCATTATTTTAAAAAACGCATGAGGACGTGGGATCATGTTTTGCCTTATGTAACTGGATGGTTCTTATGTCCTGAAGATGCATCATGTATTCTGAATTCTCTAAAAAGTTCGCTTAAAATTCTGCTGAATGACGGAAGGTTTTGCAGGATTTTTGATATATATGATGATGGTAAGAATTACTGTGTGATTCAATACTTTTTCTAAGTTATTTGAGCAATTCATGTTTAATAGGTATTATAAATATATACTATCTTCTTTTGTGTATGTGTGTGTGTGATTCACTAGTGGTTTATTCGATAAGACCACTGAACACTAGTGATTTGGTCTGCTTTTAGATCCTTTGGGATAATAAAGTGAGCTAGTCATTTTTTAGTTTTCATTATTGCTAATGTAAATATGAGCTATTTCTCTTAAAAATTTCATAAAGGCATTCCTCTCCTTAGGCAAATAGGCCTTATTTGCTATTTTGTAATCAAAATAACAACCAACCATCTTTTTGTAATAAAAGCATTTCATCATAATTTTGTTTCTGTGATAATTTTCGTTTTATGCGCAGTATTAACAATGCTTTTTGGGGTGACAGAGGTGTTTGATGTTATATACAGTGATATATATTTTTTAATTCTGTGTGAACTTTCATTAATTTGGATAAAAATTGAAATTCTAAAAACACATTTATGAAGAATAATATAGTTTATGGAATAGTTTTACAATAACTCAAACATTTGTACTACAAATTAAAATTAGTAAGACTCCATTACATTCCTTTCAGTTTGGTAAACGATGGAAAAAAATCAAGAAAAGTAACATTACAGATTATTACAGTCTTATGGATTCATGAATGAATTGCATGATAAACAGCCCATTGACAACAAAAACACAACACATAAATGTCAATGCACACAGTAGCATTGTTGAATATACCACAATAAAATTCATTGAGAACATTCCCATAGTTCGTTCCAAAATATGTAATGCCCCATAATTTTTTCTGATAAGTCAAGAATACCAATTATAAAAGCATTTAAAAACACACGATGAAATATAAAACACTTGAATTTAAATACACGAACCATAGCATTTGCCCAAAACATTACATTATGTTGCTTCAGTGAATTAATTCATGGATTCAATAAGAACTGTCTAGTAGCACAATATTTTTCTGCAGAATATTGGCAGACTGGTTGTTTTCAGAAATTTCTATGATCTGATCTGTCATACTGTATCTCAGATTTTGTTTTGAAAATGTACCAAAATCAACAATATTTCAACTATTTTTTTTTATAATATAAAAATCTGGTACAACCATAACTCAATCAGCTGTTTATAATTATATGTAAGAAATTTCTTCCATCAGAATATATTAAAACTACATATATGAGTTGGAACTTTAATCGTTACAACATTGCTGTCCACACCTAAGCTACCAACCTTTCCAATGATATGAGATAAAATATGAAAAACTGGAATGCCTATGCCACTGTACAGCTGTAAGATTTCAGAAAAATTATAAATTAACAAATCTGAGTGGAAAGTCACTGTGCAATTCATGATTTAGATTATTAAACTAATTATAAAATGTGATTTTGATTTAATTCATTATTATATTTTTTCTTCCTACTATCAGTATATAAACTTTTTGCTGCAAAATCTTGAATAAGTAATAAAAAGTTTTATCAAATTACCTTTAAACATGAAGAAAATTAAATTAGTAGTAATTAAAATGTAAATTATTATGTGAATAAGCTTAGCAATGAACTCTTAAAACCAAATGAAATACAAGTTTTACATATTAAATGTAAGTTAATGTGAAGTTTTGTATATCTATCCTGGCAGTGAATGTGTTAAACAAATCAGATCAGAAAATAATAATAATAATAATAATCAGAAACACCATGCTGAGTATCACTATACCGTGGCAAGCAGAGTTTGCACATCTAATGTTTTGCTAAGATAGGACTATGCAGCTATTTTTTAGTACTGCCAAGACATTTCTTCATAGTTTTTTTTTTTTTTTTTTTTTTTTTTGACTCCTAGTGATCAGCATTTGTTCTAGAGATGGATTTGAAAGAAATAATTTACATTTAGATAACTTTAAAATTTTGGAGATACAGTCATTTACTGGAGACAGGAAAATAGGTTGGCAGATTTAGTCTAGTGTGATGATACAGCTACTAGCACCCCCGCGGGCACAGGTGCTGAATTATAACTTCCTGTTTGTTCGCGGACAAAATGGACTATACCTGCAAAAAGCAGGACTGCAGATAAAACCCCCTGGGAATTTCCGGACACAAGGAAATAATTATGTTTCTCTTCGCAGATAACAAAACGAGTAAAATCTTTGTGTAAGAGTTCTTCATGTGGTTTTGAGGTGACAGGACGCATCTTTTACGTTCTAAACCACGCCAGTGGTTTCTGTAGAACAATAGTTTTTTTATGCTGTAACTACAGTAAAAAGGACTTTTTTGCGTCCAATCTGTGTTAGCGGGTATTGTATGATTTAGAGCTGTAATGATCAGTTTATTTTTATGTTTAATCAAGAAATCTATTTTAGTTTATCAAATAAATAATTTAAAAGACAACCTGTCTTTCTTTCACCCGACACGGGTGTACTGACGTTACAGCTATAATAAATGGTGGCAGCGGTTCAGATGAGAAAATCCATGCAGAAATTACAGACCGTCAGGCTCTAAAAATTCATCTCAAGATTGTGGGACAGTCATTGTCCGGATATCAACAGTGTTTTGCACATATTACAGACCGTCAGGTTCTGAAGTGCAGCACGAAAAGTTACGAACATCAGTTCGAAAAAGTGATTACAGCTCTCCGATGTGACGAGATGAGAAAATCCATGCAGAAATTACAGACCGTCAGGCTCTAAAAATCCATCTCAAGATTGTGGGACAGTCATTGTTCGGATATCAACAGTGTTTTGCAGATATTACAGACCGTCAGGTTCTGAAGTGCAGCACGAAAAGTTACAAACATCAGTTCGAAAAAATGATTACAGCTCTCCGAAGTGACGAGATAAGAAAATCCATGGAGAGATTACAGACCGTCCGAGTCTGAAATTCATCTCGAGTTTGTAGGACAGCCATTGTCCGAACATCATCAGTGTTTGCAGATAGTACAGACCGCCAGGCTCTGAAGTGCAGCACGAATTTATGAACATCCGTTCGTAATTTACAGCTCTTTGAAGTGGGGGAATAGAATCCACGAAGAAGTTACGGACATCAGTCCAGAAAAAGAGGAACGACAGTCTCCTGAAATAAGCTCATCTTTAAGCGCGGTGATAAAGGTGCTACTTGTGCGATCATCTTTTGTGTTCGAGAAAATTTACCGCAGTGAGCATGTGGGACAATCATTGTCCGAAGATCTTCAGATCATTGTGATGTGTAGAGTATTGAAAAAGTGATATGTGGGTGATCACCCTTGTGATCGAGAAAATTTAGATCAACAGATCTTGTGTGTGTGCGTTATAGGTGCCTGGATCATCAGTGTCCATAAAATCTTAAATTGTGAGAAGCGAAGTTGCATCGCAACCATTTCAACTCTCCAATCCAGATGGGTAAGTCCCTTGGATTTTTATATTGAGGCAGTAAAGTAATTTAATTTATTTCTGTAAATCAGTATGTAAGTCACATAACTGTTTTAAGTCAACTTGTTCCTGTAAAGCTTAAAGAAATGTGCTTTTTGGGTTTTATGTTACAATAAAAAAGTATACAATTTAGAATTTAAACCTGTGTTAATAGATTTTTTTTTTAATATCTGAAATGTTAATGTGTTGTGCTTAAATTAAACTTATATATTAGATTGTGTAAAGGAGTAGAATTACTGTAACTTGAAGGTTTTAATGTTAGGTGGCAATCTGACATATCATTTCTAAGACGTTTTGAATGTTATAAATATTAGAAATTCAGTTAAGGTGTGTCAAACTTTTATTTGTGTAAGAACTGAGAAATTGTTTTTTCTATTGAAGGAGTAAAAGGGGAATGATAAAACCCCCAGTATCTTTCCTGTTATCTGTTGTCATATTAATGTTAATTACTAGCATATGGATAGGTATTGTGTAATTTATTGTATTTCTGAATGCATATTTTAATATATCCCAAATTTTGAGGAACGTATATTGAATTATCACAAGCAAGTGTGTTTTACACAACTGAATTTAAAGCTTTTCACAGGATAATATTATTTGTAGTTTCATACGTCCTCAAGTAGACAATTTTTGTTTTTATTTTTGAATGCAATGTGCATATTATAGTGTAAACTGTCTTGTTTTTGTCTAACATCTGTAAAATAGGTTGTGAAAAAAAATTATAAAAGTTTAATTTTTACTCTCTCTTGTGAAAATGATATCTGTTTAAATCAATTGTATGTATCTGTAGTGTGAGGGAGCTATAATTGTGTAGGATCATAATTTTTGTTATATCATGGCATTCTTAGCAAAAGTTAGGAATGCCTTTGAATTAAGGAATTACTTTGAAGAATGGATTGCAGGTTTGGAAGTTAGGGATTTTGAACTTTTAAAGAAGCTCATGATAACGGACCAAATGAAGCGTCGTGTAAATGCCGAAGTGCGCCAACATTTTATTAACGAATGGTCGAAGATAACGACTCCAGAGAAATTAGCGGAAATGCTGCAAGAATATGAAAATGTGCGTGAACCCCGGAAGAAGATCTCTCCTGTTCATAGTTCGGAGTCACAAAGGGGAAATACAAATACCGTAATTTCCGGAAGAAACGCCGCGGCGTTTACGTGTTTAAAACTTAAATTTTCAGCGGGTGCGCCGTTTCTACCCATGCGGCGTTTAGATGCACTAAAAATAAAATATTTCCTATGATGGTCATTTTACATAGTTTGGATGGCCTTGTCATTGTGCATAGATTGGTGCTGTTCCCACACAAAAAGACCACTCACTTGCTTTTTGCGAACGTTATTTTGTTTACGTTCTTTCCCTTGAACGGACCTACATGCTTTGTTCACCCTAAACGAGATCACAGAACAATAACATTCTTCCCCCTTTCAAATCAACATTCTCATCAGTTTGAATAGTCTCTCTCCTCTGCCATTCAATGAATCTTCCAGGACCCATCCTCTTTCCACCCCTGCCTTTTCTGCAATTTTTTTCAAAGGCGGACACGACTCCACCTGCCTCGCAATAACGA